ATGTTCTACACTGTAACGTAGAGGCTCATATATTATTATTAATCTGTTAGCATATAACATAAAAAGTTGTGATGGAACAGAAAAAGCAAGTTGTAAGGTGTCAAACTGCATAAAAAACAATCACGTGGGTCAAATTTAAGATTGTGATTGACAGAAAGTCACCTGTTCATTTTCTTAGAAATAGGTACAGGCAATCTTTGTTGTTTTGATTTTTTGTGTTGTAAGACCAGACCACAGCTTCAAAAAACCCATAAGAAAGCAGAAACACAAGCTGTGTAACCACTCAGTGAAAATATAAATCAACCAAAATACAGTTTCTTTTTCCTGGCAGAGAAGATTGTGGGATAATAGGTTTCAAATCATGGGTAACAGTTTGTCAACAAAGATGTATTAATTATGTAATATCATGTAATTATCACAATGACAATCGGGTTATACTCAGAGGAAGTAGAATTCACAAAGTTTGTGGGGACTATCATATATTTTTAGTTTCCTCTCCGATTCAGTTGGAGTCACAAGGGACAACGCAGCGCTCGATATGGACACCGTCCTCCAGAGCTGCAGCTGCTGGCTTCTCAAGCCCGGCCCTCACTGTTTGTTTTGCGTTTCCTTACTTACGCCGGTGCCCAAACCGAAACCGCTGGAGGCAGACGACTGCCCTCCTACAATCTGTTTCTGCTGCTCAGAGAGGGAAGTTTCATTTCTCCACTGCTGCCAAGTGCTTTCTTAAAGTTTTTTTTTTTATTCCGTGTTAGGCAATCTAAAATAATTAAATGGTTTCACGTTACACGATGGACATGTGGGCGAATCACCAAAACAGGCTTAAAAAGCAAAAGGGAAAACACGGATGCATCTGTTGGCAGGTGATTGCTAATAAGGAGAAAAAGTAAGACTTGCAAGCAACATAAGTATTTTCCACAGGCTGACTGAGACCATATCAAGCACGCCTGATGATAATGCCTTCTGCGATAAGCTCTGATCCTGTGGTACCGTGGTACGCTAATCCAACTCCACGGCACATATTCAGGTTTCCATGGCGAGCGCCTTCCACTTCACCACACACAGCCGGCGTGTTTCCAGCACAAGGACGGCTCACAGCTATCATCTTCAGGCCTCTAGGTTCATCTGTTCACCGTCACTCACGGTTCTCTCTCTCTTTTTGTGAAAGAAGAGGTTAGAGAATGGGAATTTGACTCCCTAAGAAGAGTTTTCTTACGTATATCAGTAGCTGCTAACATAAAAAGTAATAAATAAAGCGTGCCTATCTCCCTCGCCATTTCAACATGAGATAAGCTGTACAGTCAGAGATATAACCCCGCTCTGCATGACCCTTGTCTTTTCTTTAAACAAGGCAGCCAGGTGAAGCTGACACAAGCCACTGTGTCCAAACAGTCAGATTACCAGGTCAACCCATGTTACACCCAGGCAAATTCTCAGTAAAGCAAAACTCAAATATGAGGATCACTTGCCAAATCATAGATACACCCATCAGAGCATTTAACACAAGGAAAAAGGTTGTTCTCTTTGTGCCAGAAATTAAGTCTAGAAAATGAATGAATGGATGAATTAAATGTGAAACGTGAGCTTTGTGAGGAAAGCTTTGCAATACATATATGTACTTTTTAAGCAGAAAAGTGGCAAGAAAATCCAGCTGGTCGAATCCAGGTCGGAGTATTCTGTTTTTTTCATGTTTTACCAGAAGTGGCAACAAACAGGGCTGGCTGTATGCTCATGCCGGCTGGTTTGTTCTGCTCAGGGTTAATCACACTGCCCAGCAGAGGAGCACTTTTAGCTCAGCGCTGATGCTGACTGCAGCTCTGACTGTGAGTCAGCGGTCCAGTCCAGAGGTGCTTCACTTCTGTCCTGTTCGGACCAGCGAGCGATGAGGAAAAGACTTGTGAGAGCGTGACACACGGCTGCACACATGACAGCACCGCCAAACAGGGCTCAGCCAGGAGGAACCAGGCACAGTGAGTCACAAAACGTGTGTGGCAGCCTGAGGTAAACTGGTGGTGGGTCATTTCTTTGACAGGCTGGGATGTATTAGGTTTAAAAGAGGGAGCCGACTTTCCCTGACGTTTGGTTCCAGTGTCATGCATCCTAAGAAAAAGCATAGATCTGACTAAAATTGAAGTTTTTATAAACATAAATACCATTAGAGCAGATTCTGAGAAGCTCAGACCCACAACATGAATTCAAATCGAGGGATTTTGGAGTCATGCTTAAATAATACGTTTCAAGATGCAAAAGTGAGTCAAATAAGGACAATCAACCTGAAAAACCGGCTGGAAAGCACGGCTCTATACCAAAGCAGCTGGTGTTAAAGGGTATGATCCACACCAGGGTGTGAATGAGGACCTGCAGCTAATAAGTGTTGAAATATTTCTTACACTAATACAGTGAACAAATAAACCCTCTGCTACATATAAACAAAGCAGTGCCTTTACTGGCTTTGTTGGACACTTTGTTCAAAAGCATCTACAGATTTTTTCACCCTTTCACAGCAAATGCTGAAGGGAAAGGATGCGGATGTAAACCAACACAGCTGCTAATCTATAAGATATTGAAGTAAAACTTTGACCATCTTTGTGCTATGCTTGCTTAAAATGCGCCATTCTGATGACTGATCCTTCAGCTCTGTGTAGTCAAACAAGATAATGTGTATATTAGAGAGACCAAAAAAATCTGTTAAGGTTATCCTTTTTCATAGGAAATATGCTCTTACGTCTGTTCCCAGATGTTTTCTATCTAAATCCAGCTTGAATTTAAGGGTGAATGAGTGTCTTCACACAACTTTTTCTTTCTTGTGGGTCCATCTTATCTCTTCTGTCAGCTACTCAAAGCAAAAACTCGATTGAGGATAATTTTTTTCCTGCTCTCATAACAAAGAAAGCAACTGTGACATGTAAACATCCCTTCAAGACTTTAACAAAAAAAAACAACCCAAAGAATCGGGGGCAGCGGGATGGTTTGTGGAGGACCTTAAAGCAAACGTCCTTCTTTTTTCTGTGTGAAGCTGAGACAGCTGAGTGCAGTCAGCCTGAGCTGCCATGATCTGTCCGTTTGTATACTTTGGCCTTTTGGCTGTTTTTCTACAGGCATTCATCTAAATTAATAGCAGGCTTCGAAAATGTACCAACACTTCGCATGGAATAAATATCTTGTCATAAGAATTGCCAAAGAAATAATTGATGGTTGTTTTGGGTATAGCATTTAATAGTTTTACATGATCCTGTTGAATAAGACCTGGTTGGAGCGTAAAACGTCAAAAGAAGTAGATTTTATTTTCAGGTATTTAGGGTTTTCTGACACACATGAACACATGACCTGGTGGTGAATGAGCCACTACTGGTCTCCTGATCGAACCTACAACCATCTTTCAGTGCAGGTTTCTGTGAGCTGCACACATTTTAGCTCTAGACACAGGCCTCTCTGAGCACATGTGGTCATCAGGCAGCTCCTCACTGTTTCCATCAGGGAGCTGTCAGGAGGCGTGAACCCGTCTTACACCAGTAATCCAGCACCGGTCTGCTTAAAGTGAGTAAAGGTTAAGACAGTTCAGTCCTCCGTTTTAAACTGTAAGATTTTTAGCTCTAACAATGTGAGAGAAAAAAACGAGGATCAACCTACAGAGGGGGGAGAAAAAAGCCAAAGTCCACAAAACTTCATATTTATTGACCAAATATTACAGTTCCACTGTTCCACTACAAAATTCAAACAAGTCTCTTCATACAAGCACTGCTTGTAATTGTCTACTCAACCCCGTGGGTATTGCTGCTGACTACTACATGAGAAACCCACTGGCTACGGCAGAGCGGTTCTACACAAACTCACAAGCGATATACAGCTTCAAAGCTCAGTTACAAAAGAATAAATAACATAAAAAGGCATTTGTCCTATTACTGTGCACTAAATATTCACAGCCTGCCACCTAGTGGCAGAAATCAATATCTGTCATTTACTCTCACAAAAACAAACATTGTTAAGCATCACTTCTGAGAATTTCCGTGCTTTAAGAGCAGTAAAAGGTCAGAAAGGTGAGGGAAAGCTCTGCAGCCTCTCTGGAGAACCTCTCTCTGAGCCCACCCTGTTCGCATAATGTGCCTTCAGGCAAAAGACTCACAATTACTCTAAAAAGGATCCCAGCAGATTATATAAAAAAGTAAAAAAATGTGTTAGTGACAAATACTGAAAACCAACTGTTGGAAAGAAACGTAGTAAACGTGGCTTGAATATTTTTTCTGAGGTTCAAGACATGAGATGCAGAATAAATGGGTCGTTATGGAACATGTAAATACTTGACCTGAAACGCTACACATTTAATTTTGTTCAGAAGACAAACTCTTTCCACTCTTAATACCCCATTTAAAATAGTTTCCTGACATGACCCTTGATAAAAAGAGAAGACATTGACTACTCTAAGGATCTCTGACATGCAGAAGTGGTTACGCAAACCAAGCAGACAAAGCCTTCACATAACAAAACTAGAACGAAAAAGCAAGCAAGGACCCTCCTTCAGAGTCCTAACTTGCAGTGAAACTAGACCCCCCTACTGACACTGGTGATGCAGAGGGCGAGAGGTGAAATGCCAGGAAGTAAGGCTAACTCGAGTCGATAAACTAAAAATGGCTTACTATCCAGAGAATGCCCGTCCGGTAAAAATTAAACTTTTGTCTCTTTACGATCACAGTCATAATCCAAGTGCTCCCCGATTCAAACATTGGTTTGCATAATATATTAGCAGGAACTTAAAGATTGAGGTTCTGCAGGAGGTGTGGAGGCATATTTAGTGTCTTACAGAAAGGTGTTCAAACAACCTTTGTGCTTAGAAATGTTACTAAGATTCCCCTTTGTTCAGAAGGCCAAACTCAACAGGATACCGGTGGTGAAACAGACAACGGCGGCAATGACATCTTAAGGAACCAAACTTCCACATGCATGGTGACCGTCGCTCCGAAGACATCTGCTCGTAGCAGTGGCCAGTTGGTCACTGGCTCCACTCACTGCAGTGGGATGAAGCCAATGTCGGGGCCCTGGGCCAGAGTCAGGGTGGAGCGGCTGAGCGATGGCGACGGAGAAGCCAGGCGGAAGGCCGGATTGACCGAGTGCAGCGAGTCGCTCTCGTTGCTTCTGCTGAACGGGGGACAGGGAGCCGGCGGGGGCTGGCGTGAGCAGCCGGCGGGGGGGGACGGCGCCGTGGCGGGCGCTGCGGCGCTGGCAAGCTCCTGGTTCAGTGGGATGGTCTTTGGGGTCCCGGGAGGGCACAAGCAGCGAAGGTCGGAGGAGTGGACCACCCTGTCCAGCACATCCTTTGTGCTTTGAGAGCACTGAAGAGGAGGAAGTGGAGGGGAAAGAAGAAAAGAGGAGAAATCTGAGAATGCTGCTTCAGGAAGAAGTGACACTATAACAAGTACGACAGGGAAGCGTGTATCAAATACTCTGTGAAATGTGATTTAGGGGGTTAGTTTGGAATTCCTAATCACAGTAAAAACCAATGAGAGCCCTGAAGACAGCACTGCCAAATAATGCTGATGGAAAAGCACAGAGGAGGCGAGTTAGATGCAGATGGTGAGATCAGGCAAACACACGGACGGACAGTTAGATATGCTGACAAGCTGCTCCCTCCTGGGTTTCGGACCCAAACAGTTCACCTGTTTCAGGTTGTGTCAACATGCCCACACGATAACCCCAACATTAATACATGGCTGGTCCAAAAAGATCCGCCCTTCAACACTAAAGCGGGTGAGCACCATGGTTAGAGTGAATGATCATGAGGCATGCACAGTCACACCAACACGCAGGAGTGATCCACGGCATCAGAACCAACCAATCACCAGCTCCGAGCAAGCTCATTCAGAGCTGATGCTAGTAGAATAATGCAAAAACAACCCAGAGTATAAAGACGGAAGGAGAGGCGGTGAATGGCGAGCGAAGAGATGCTGCGGCTGGTTTAACGTTCAGCCCAACCCTTACCATCAACTGTCTACAAGCAGCTGTGCTCTTCAGGCTGTGCAGGACAATGAAAAATCCTGACAGTTCTCCTCCTAGCAGAGTGGAATGGATACAGTACAACACTGAAGGTCAGGTCTTTCATGTAGTATTCAAGTTGTAATACTTCATTATGCATTCATCATTCTGTTCAATAGCACATTCCTGAAGGACGAGAAAAAACCGAACACAGGTAACAACTTGGACCAAAAGATATCAGTTTAGCAGTCAGTCCTGTTAAGAACTAAGAGCAACTCAACTGAAAACACAGACCAAAGTTTTAAATATAAAAAAAAGGTTTATATAAATGTTTAAATAAGTGAACCTGTGTATACATGTAAAAATAAAGTTTGTTACATAGAATATAATAGGTTTTTCATATGCTAACAACATTAAAACAAACATATACAATGAAACAGGGAATTCAGAAAAGTCTGAGCAAACAAAAAAAGTACACCTATTGAGTGGTTCACTTTTCCACAAAAATAAGACCACCATCTTTCAGAAAGTCACTCAACGCTGACCCTCTCTGGAAGAAAAACTCCTAACTTTCGGTTGAATTCCGTTTAATTTCATCACTCTTACTGTCATCATTTTAATTTGTATGGTGTATTTTCAAATTAAAGTTGCGGTGGGACAATAACTTGTTCTCAGCTTGGGGGGGAATCAGTGCATGCCCTCCTCTTTACTTCCAGAAATACATAGAAAACATTGGGAAAAGATTAATGGCGTTTCATGGAGCAAACTCTATTTGGGAGGCTGATGTTGGAGGTCTGGAGGATGTAGGAGGACACAGGGACATACTGAGTGGGCTTAGAGATGCACATGAGCTATGGGGCAGACTTGGAAGGAAGCACAAAAAGTTTTACCCTACCATGTTTACATCGTTCTTGGCCGTGAAGGGAGGCAGTTCTACCTCTGAGACAGAAGCAGCGGGGATCCCCTCATCGGGAGGAAGGAAACCTCTTCTATCAATCAGACTAGAGAGCACAACAGAGGATTCTGTGACAAAGCACTGAAATGATGCTGCATCTTTCTGAGAATGAACTGAGCTGAGACGTCATGGAAAGAAAAATCTTCCAGATGAGGAGGATATTCCTACTTACCTCGGAGGCATGGGGCCACATAATGTCACGCAGCAGTTGGTTATGATGTTGTTGTAACTGTATGGGTTCCCAGACTCCTCCACTCCTCTTTTACTTGACCACGACCCTTTAATCTGTCGATCAACAGAGTAGAGTTTATTATTCACAAGAATCTTAACGCTTCCTGTGCATCAATCATGAATTCAGCATTGTCATTATGAACCATAATTTCTTACGTCTTCATTCGTGGTGAGATTGGAGGCCACTAAGTAGGTGTGGAAGCCTGAGAGGCCCAGAATAGACCAAATGGAGAAGAAACAAATCACCAACTCCACCACAGTGCGCAAATGATGAGTCAAGGCCAAAAGTCACTGAAGAGCTACAGAATCCTATTCTATGAAAGACCAACGGGAAGGTCAACTTGCACAAATAAACTCACAAAGACAGCAATCTTATGAAGTCAAACACAGCTGACAGCAGAGTGTTTGTAGGGATAGATAAATGGTTGAACAGGATCAGACACGCTTTGTTCTACCTTAAAACCTTTGATGTTGGCTTTCAGCTATATGGTGAAATGAGGCGTCATCAACATGTCATTTTGTTTTAGCATCTTGATTGAATTAATACTTTGTATTATTCAATGATATTATTCCAACCAATTCTAAAAACTCACTTAAAACAAAAGAATCTGGTCTCAGTCCATTTCTGTGGCTCTTTCAACAGGTTCAGTGTCATCTGTGCTTGTGTTGTTGACTTTCAAATGTGGGCTTTGGTGGAGGAGCAGTAGGAAATGCCTCACCCACAGTTTTGTCAATTTCTTAGCACAAAAACAGCAAAGAAATCTCTGATTCATCAAAGGATATCTTGCAGGGCTCTCCTGAATGGCTTGAACAAGGGTTTTACCCGCTTGAGAACCTGAAGAGACAAGATTAATAAGAAAACTGTTATCTTGAAGAAGTCCTTGAGAATGTGAGCGGAACGCTCACTTCTGTCCTCTCGACTGAAAACACTTACGCAGGGTGATGTGTGTGATGACGCAGCCAAATATAAAAGACGTCAGGAAAGACAGAGAGATGATGAAGCTGTAGAAGAAGCGGTAATTGCGCCTTCCCACACAGTTCCCCACCCATGGGCAGTGGTGATCAAATCGCTCTGATAGCAGGAAACAACAAAACACAAAGACTGGAGATTAGAAACATGTGATTGGTAGGTAGAACAGGAATGAAACTATCTTCCTTTATAGAAGTCACTGTGGCTTTATAACTCATTCCTTCTCCGGCTTTAACGTAAGGTGGCAATGTTTTGCTTTATTTTTGTCTTAAGACAACAATAAAAGGTGTACTACAGAAAAATGCACCATTTTTATTTTTTTGCTTCATAGTCTATATTTGATTAATCAGGTCCTTCTAAGTTTTGGCATGATTATCCTGGACCTGATTTATTTTAAGTTTAAAACATATTAAACAAAGGAAAAACAAAACGTGAAATAAGATTTAAGCAAACCAGAGGTAACTGGTGACCTCCCACAACCTTACCGACACAGTTGTCACACAGACTGCAGTGGGAGGTCCGAGGAGGGCGGAACATCTTACAAGTAAAGCAGTACTTGAGCTTTACCACCTGCTGGTTGATGAGGATCTCCCTGGTACGTGGAGGGGGGCGATATGTTGATGATCCTGAGGTATCTTAAAATAGATCAGGGGTAGTCACTCACTGCCACTTTCACCTTTAGATTCAAAACATTGCATGTAAAAAGCCCGCCTGTCACACAGTACTGTGTATAACTCAGAGGTTTGAGCTAGGTGCAGAGTTCCCGCACCTCAGACATGACGGAGTAATCTGCTTAGGCCTTGCTCTGTGGTTCAACAGCAAACACGTCTTCCATATGGCAAAGCCCTTATATCCATCTGCCCCACAGCCAGAACCCAGTTCCAGCATGCGTCTTACCTATCTGCCTTTCTATGTCTGCAGCTTCGTCTGGGGTGGCCCTGGGTAGAATGCCTGGATCTGTAAAGCTGGTTCTCAGCAGGGAGGTGAGCACAAACACACAAAGCACCCCACCTATCACAGGTATGAAGACGGTCAGGTGCTCCACTAGAAATGGACAACTGCAAGAGAAACCACCCTTAATCATCACTTCTATTAAATTAAACTCTGAAGAAACAAATGCACGAAAAAAAAACACTTTTACAACTTCCACATTCAAGCCCAAATGACCCCCTCCTCCCCCCCCAATATGCCAAAAACGGGAAGTTACTCACTCGAATGCAAAGAAAAGGCCACAAGTGACAACAATAAGGCCCAGTGTCAGAGGAAGGACACCGCTCTGTCTGGCTAGGACGAGCCGTCCGTCGCAGAAAAACCTGTTCTTTCCCGGGAAAACCTCCCATTTTCTCCGCGGACGCTGCGCTTTCTTCTCGGTGTGGCTCTGAGCCGACAGCGGCGACACCGACAGCGCCAGCGGGTCGATCTGCTGGTACTCGCAGTTCTTCATCGTGTAAACGACGTCGACGCAGTCTGGAGGCAGCCAAAGGCACTGGCGAACCAGTCTCTATGCCCCACGCTCTGGAGAGACTATTCTCTCAGAATTCACTCGGTGGACATTTATATTTCAGCGGTTCTGCTAGCGTTCAGTCGCCCATACTGAAGCTAACTTCAGCTAGCTAATGTACCAACAAAGGCATTCTTCTCCGTAGGTCACTTTTACGAGTTGTGTCCATTCACGGGCTGGTTTGGTGTCAACTACCATGTTTGGTAGTTAAATTAAATCCGTACATAAACGTCTGGACACATTTAAATAAATAAAGTTGACTTCTATAAATGATTCAACACAAACTAAGGACCAGCGACTCCGGCTTATTGCACCAATTCCCTAATTGACGTCTCCCGTTCTGTCGCGAGCAGCTAACGTACGTCACGACGTAACGGTAACGTAGCCACGAGGTTTCCGCTCACTTGTGAAGGCTGAAACGGACGCCCAGAGCGAACAGATGGTTAATAAATCTGGAGTGGATTGCAGAGGTGATTTTTGTTGGACTGAACTAAATCATTAGACTGTTTCGTGCCAAAGTCGTCACCCCTCCTCCTCGATCTGTATCCAATGACGCGGGAGCGCGCACTCGTCAAATATCTGGCTTTAAAAAGTTTACGGCCGTCTGACCGTCCAGGTCATAAGCAATGATTTTCACTTTTTCTTAAGTGCAGGTAGTCTATTCGATGTTATAATGTGAACAAACTACACTCTCGTTCGTATGAAGAAGCTTTGATTTTTTTCTTAAATAAAAGCTAAGCAGAGAAACATGATATGAGCGATGCTGTTGTTTTGTTGTACAATGAGTTTGATTCTTGATTGAGAAGGATCAGCTAACCTGCAATCAGACTGGAAACGATGAGGGGAAGCACCAACATGTGCAGGATCCTCATCAGCATTGATTGATTCGATTAGTCTTGATCTGCGCGCAAAAGGCGAGCGCCCCAAAGCTGCTCATCTGAGGAGAATGGCAATCTCCTGTCTATTTATCACACCCCTTATGTGCTTGGAATGTTTAACGTAGGATGCAAAACGAATCAACTGTGAGTGGTGTTTTCTGGGCATCGGACTCGTCACCAGTATTTCGTTATTCTGGTCTGAATGTGGGAGGAAGCTGTTTGCAGGAGCTGCCCTGAGCCAACGCGCGAAGGCTGAACGCTGGCGGAGATGACAAGACTCAGGTCTAATGAAAAATTCAGTTCCCCTGAAATAATCTGGCTTTGCCTGTGTCGAGAGGTTGCAACAATTCCAAAATGGAAAGTCGGTGCTATGCAAAAAAAAAAATCGGAATGGTTTGCCAGAAATGGGTAAAATGTTCATGTAAACAAAGAAAGTTTGCTGCTGTGACACGTTAATGCCAGATTTATTGCAGGTGCAGAAAGGCTTTCACTGGTATTTAAGTAGGTTACAACATTACTGTTTCTGCATTATTTTTGCATTATGTTTGTTTGTGTTTAGATTATAAAATTATATCGTGTTTGTGGGTGGTTTATTGAATAAACATACTATTATGGAAATGCTGCTCAATACCATTGATATGGGGAATAAATAATTGTGTCATTGGGAGGAATTAACTAGTTGGCCAGTAATCTGTATATTACACTATTGAATAGAATTATTATAGCTGCATGTTTCTGGTTAGATTTTTTATATATTGTACTGTCATTCGATATGAAGAGCTGACTGTCCAGCACAGACTTACAGCAAAAATGCAACGTGGTGTCTCAAACAACAGCGACTTCAAAATGAAAATAAAAATTGAGGAAATAAAGTAGAGTTTCTTTTATTTTTCATTCTCATTCTAAAAAGGCTGCAAACGAAAACCTGGAATAATTATCATAAACATGCAGAGCAGCTGACCAGACTCAACCCTTCAGAAAAATGGAAACATGTTTTTTTTTTGTTTTTCTATACAGTACAGCCATGCAACAACAATTGAGTTTCACTCAAACAACTACAAACATTAAGATGTGCAAATGATATACAATGTCTGATGAAGAACTATGCAGCAAAAGTATTTTGTCACAACAAACTATGCAGGTCTAGGGCCAAACAAGGGGAATGTGAGGAGCAGCATTCTTATTTTGCACAATTGAGTTTTCTTTTTAAAACTAAATGAGACACCAATAAAACATTCTAAATATGTTTGCATTTTTTGTCATGGAAACTTAATGTTTAACCACTTAATGATTATGAGAAAACACTAAATATCTCTGCCGATGAGGAGTTACAAGAACTCCCATTACTCCATCACTGATATGTGGCATGAAATCCTTAATGTCTTAATTCATGTCCATGGCAAAAAGTTGCAATGTAGTGCAAGACCCAGTATCCAGTATGAGAGAAAATACCCCAGTATGCTCTGTGTAGTGGGGGAACAGGATTTAAAGTGGGGCAGCAGTGCAATGATGGGGTTTTGAGGAGTGTGCGTACAGCCATTTCTGGAGTGGGTGTGTAGCTGCACACTGGGATTTGACGTTTTCCTCCTGTGAAGTAGAGGCTCGTTGAGGAGGAGAAGATGAGCGCTGATCCAGAAGGGAACCGGAGAGGAGGAGGCCATGAACCTGGTGAGAACCTGCAAGTGGAAATACAAAGAGGCAGCATAAAAAAAACACACTAAATGACCAAACAATCCACGATAAAATGGCTGGATGTTTTTCTTACCTGCACATGCATGCAGAGCGTTCCAAACACCAGGAGTACAGCAGCATGTACAACATACACAAACACTCTGGGGTTGAAGAAGCCTGGCATGGGTTTGTCAAGCCCTTTGTTTGCACCCGATTCCCAAAGTCCGAGTCTCAAACAAAGTTCCGGATTAGTTTGGAAATATGCATAAGCAGCCATTATGCCGAGTGTAGCCATAGGCAGCGCCAGAAGGAAGTTTGGTATCTGCTTAAGCTCAAAGTAACGGAGGAAGCCAACATCCCAATACACATCCTGGATGTGTGAGTAAAGTAAGGGGAGAGGTTTCATGCACCAGAGGGGGGGCGGACCGTTTTCATCTGGAACGCGGTAGCCCTTCCTCTCAGCCAGTGACATGAGAGCAGGGTGTACCTGTTCCAAAGAGGTGGAGGGGGTGCAAAACGTCCTATAGCCATAGTACTGGAATGCACAGAAGGGGAGGGCGATGACTGCAGTCCCTAACAGGGAGGTGAGCAGCAGGGAGACAATGGCCCATAGGTAGTGCAGGACTTTGCTGTGGCCTGTTGTGGTTGTACGATAGACCCGAATCTGGGTTATGGCGTGCAGTGATGGGAGATACAGCAGGAAGCCTATGTTAACAAGTCCGTTCGAGCGAGCGGCAGTTGCTATGCTGAAAGCCAGGCAGGCTCTGACGGTGAAGCCTTTCTCCAGGAGGAACAGCCCACCAAAAGTGAGTGCAGCAAACAAGCTCTCCGAGTATCCAGCAGTCATGAAAACGTTGGCCGGCGTGAAGCAGTACAGCAGGCTGGAGAGAAGAGCGAGCCGTCTGTCCTGCAACACTATTCTGCTGAGGGCATGCAGGGCAACAACGCTCAGCAGGAAGAGGGCACTGTTCCCCAGAGCAACAGCCACCAGCAAGCGCCCCCGCACACTCAGCCAGCCGCTGAGGGGCCACAGCAGCGTCTCTGCCAGGCCGCGCAGGATCACGGGGAACAGGGGGAAAAACGCAAAGTTGTGCTCGTAGAGGTATCCTCTCTCTGCGATGAACAAGAAATGCTCCGCATCCCAGTGCGAGAGGCCACCGAACAGCCACTCCACCAGGGAATCCAAATACAGGGGTTCCTCTGTCCGAGGGGGCCTGAATGCATCAGCATCGTGATCAGGGATGGCAGCATTGAGGACAGCCTGGAAACGAACATTTTTTCATTGTCATTTAAAATGTCACCACAGTTCTAAAGTATGAGAATCATGAAGGCAGTCTGTGGTACTCTGCACAGCGCAGTGATGGACAAACAGAAGAGGTACAGGCTTTATGTACAAATGTGTACAACTAATGCTCTTAGACGACATGAACCACATTACAGCAGCTTGTAAACCCACCTGCAGAAACAGGGAGAGGCACCTGGTTACCGTAGCAAACTCCAGAACTGATTTCACATCCATGGTCATTGATGAGTCGGACCAGATGTGGACAAGCCGGCTTTGACAGCCATGAGCTCTGCCGCAGCTACCCGGTAGTCACTGCTGGATGGGACATTTGAACAAAAAAACATAACTAGCCAGGTTAAAAAACAAATAATTATTTGACACTCTTAAAATTATTATCCGAATAACAAGAAGGGGAAAGAGACATTTTTTTTTTTTTACCATGACGGGAGTTTGTCTTTGGGCAGCTTTTGTTTGTCGCTGCGCTATAATCATTGTCCTCACATCCTCGTCTTGAATCAGGAAACCTTCGTTCAAACAGCTCTTTCACTTCCGGTTCCTAAACAGCCCCCTCTAATCAAAAGCTTAGGAGCTCAAATATCAGACATTGTTTCTTATGTCTTATATTCTGTTTCTATATTTTCTTTGATCATCTATAATCCTATATTGACTTCAATACATCGATAGTTTTCCGGTGTGGAGGCTTTTAGCGGCCATTCTACGATGTCATATATTTGATAGTTCGTTTCCAGCAGGGGGCGCTGCCCACCGTCCTTTAACACTTAAAATGGTGCATGCTGGTCTTGCAAAATGGTTTGTACATTCGTTACATATATCTTTAGACCCGGCTTTAATGTGGAAGTATTTGAAATAAATATGATACAAGTGAGGTGCAGCCATAGTTCGCACCGTCCGCTCAAAGCATGAAGGTCCCCGGTTCGAATCCCGGCTGAATCCGGCTGTTTATGCGTGGGCTCTCGATGGTTGCACCATTAAAAAATATTCACGTGCGGTTATTTTGAGTTTAACATTGACCCTGTGTGGTCTTGTTTCTGTGTTGCACTGTGTGTGACTGGTTTTACCCTTTGAAATAAGCTCTAGTACCCTTATGCTGACCTGGAATAAACTAGTAAAGAAAATGGATAGATTAATTATGTTTTATCTCCGATTATCTCTGATTTTGCACTCTTATGTAAAGAATATATATATATATATGGTACTTATATGATTAAGAATCTCAACAGCTAAAAATCTGTGCTCTTTTGTCAAGCTGTACGTTGTAGAACCTCAGCATCAGTCAAAGAACCCACAGATGAAACTGGGAAACTCAGTTATAGAAATACTGCAGAGCCTTGTCGGGAATGATTGTCAGAGATGCTTTAAACCTTAATTTGTGTGAATACACACATTTCTTTCCAAAGGAGCGCTTGTTCCAAAAGAACGAAACCATCCAACAGCTTACGAAGATTTGATGTACATTTATTCTTACCACGTGGAACATATAGTATAAAGATTTCATACTGAATAAATGATATTCCTTGAGCCAAAAAAAGGGAAAGGGAGGAATTTACATGATGTCTTAGCTACATAGTCTGAAATACAAATATGCAGAATCCATGACCAGAGAAAATTTGTCAAATGTGTACTTCATCTAGTTTATTCTTGTTGTACCAGGAAATAACAAGTTGGAGCCGTGTCTGTCATACTACGGAGCTGTGGAGAAACCGGGAGTGGGTGCAATCGTTGAGGACTGGAGGTCACGGACCAAACTCACGTCGACCTCCGTCCCGCCCCAATAACAAGTGTGAGAAAAGTGACACAGACAGAGACAGACACAAAGAAAGGAAGTATAATGTACAACATTATATATACACCACAGCAAAGCTGTATTTGAAGTTGAAAACCAGTCCTAAGAGGTGATTTCTTTTCATACGGGTATTCATACAATCAAGGGATAAGAGGAGGTAAGGGTGTTGTAGGTTCTCGATACTTTGGGGAAGAAAGCCATTTTCTGTTCAGGACCAAACTAAAATGACCTCATACCTCTAGAGTGGCATCATCAGCCTCTGTGTGAAACGTGTGGTACAGAATGCTTACACTCAAGAGCAGTACGGTACAGAAAATGTCCTACAATCTACTGCACACTGCACAGGCCTCCCCGGTGAAGGTGTTTATTGACAGCGCTGTCTACTGTCGGGCTGACTGGTGAGGATCCAACTACAACAACTATAACCAGCAGGTCACTTGTCAGTCTGATTCACCTCTGAACATCAACCAGTTACAGACTCACTGTGCCCTCGTGGGGAGAGCTAGGGCACACTGCGTCTCCCAAACTCACTGTAAACGAGACAGCAACTTTGGTTACAGTTTTTGTTTTTCAGCTATTTATTTATTCATTTATTTATCTTTATTAAAAAGTACTTTCCCACCCCAAGTGCAGAACAGTCTCCCGACCGTGGTGCTCTGCTCTGTGTCATCCAGTTGGCGTTCACGTTGCAAGTAGTGTCACTTTGTCGGCATCTCTCTGGTTTGCAATCCACCATAGCTCTGCAGTGACCCTCCTCAAGCAACGCTGGCCTGTGGAGGGCTGACAATGTAATCTGAAGGATTTTTCATAAATTAAAAGACAGTCACTTGAACTTTCCTTGCCCTGCTTTATACACACACAAGCCAGGTTTACCAGGGAGGAGCGGATCGTGGATAAAAACCCCCCGAAAAAGTGGAGTCACAGCTCTCTACAGCCGTCATGACTGGCCGATCAAAAAGAGTACGTCACAGATAACATGAGAAACCAGCGAGTTCATTAGGGGAGACACTGAAAGGTCGAGGAGTCGGGACTCGTGTAGTGTGAACTCTGAGTGGTTCTCCTCCACCTTTGCTAAGGCGTGCAGAGCCCGGGCGGCTCGCCGCATCATGTCCGGGCTTGTGGGCTCAAAGTGCATCCCCTGTAGGTGCAGCAGGGAGCCCTGGCTCTGTTGAAGCTGTGTGGCAGCAAGACTGTCCTCCAAGAAACCCAGCAAATTGCCCACGCTGCCCTTCTGGACAGCGACTGCCCGGGCCGCCATGGTGTCGCCCTGGGCCAGGTTGGCCAGTAAGACCACGGCCATCTCCCTGCAGACGGCAACCTTCCTGTCTCCAATCAACCGCACCAGGTTCCCGTACAGTTTCTCCAACCGACTGAATGGCGGAGTGGCCAAGATGAGGTCCACATTGTTATCTTGGATGCTTAGTTTGCTTAGCGTTTCTAGAACCAGTCTCTGAGGTGACAAAGCACTATGGGGGCCAAGGGTGGGGAAGGGGTCCTGGGCCTCTGCTGAGGGGCAGACAGCCCAATGAAGAAGACCGTCCAGCAAGGGCAAGCAGATACTCTCAGGGTAGATGGAGAGGTCCAGTTGGCCTGAAATGTTTGCCAAGGTGACCAACGTGTTCTCCCTCAGGAGCTCCAAGCAGTCCCACCACCACTCGTCCCTTTGGCCCATTCCCTCGTCTGAATCCTCGTCTTTCTCGTAGGTGAGTGGCGCCTGTTTGCGCTCGGGATGCCGGTGGTGCAGGAGGATCAGACGGCCGAGTAAAAGCAGCAGCCCTGGATGTTTGGACATCTCGTGGTCATTGCCCGGTACAAAGGAGAGGCTGCGGACGACGTTGGAGACGCAGACGCAGCGGCGCGCTAATGAATCCTGCCAGTCGGCGAGTGCAATGAGGGGCCCTTCGTCTTTACTGTGAGGCTCATCCTCGAGGACGGTGCCCATCTGCTGTGCCTTTTGGGTCAAAATACTTCCCAGGGGAAGAATGGGTCCATTATTTTCCTGGTGACTTTTAGAAGCTTTCTCAACCACCTTAGCGGCAGCGTCCATCTTCCTCTCGTCCTCACTGCTGACGGCAGAGTCTGCCTTCTCTGAGGCGGCTGATTTCTCCGTCAAGGATGCCTGTTTCTGGCTTTCTTCCTCGTCTTGATTTTTCTGCTTTTCCTCCTCAGTGGGCAAAAAATGTTCCCGTATGTCTTCTTCAAGGACTCGGCGCTTCAGTAAAACTTGGGGCACGGGTATTCGCTCTCGTGGTTCCAAAAAGTCCTTGCATGGCTCAAAGTGGGTCAGGATGTGCTCTGTTGAGTCGCCTCCTCCAGCACTCCAGTGAAGCAAGCCACTGTCAAACTCCTGCACTTTGCTGTGGTTATTTGTCTGGGCAGCGACAAACGGGTCCTTCTTTCGTACCACCCTCAGAGGAAACTTGTCGAACTTGCTGGCCTGTTTGGGTCTCTCATGGGCAGGTAGGGACTGCGACGAGCCAGTCTGCTCAAACAAAGAACTCTTGGTTTTCCTCTCCTCGTCGGCCTTCTCGTCTTGACCTCGAGAGCACTGCTCTTGCTCTTCCTCCTCTTTCACGCGAGCTGGCCCCTCTGTTACTCGCTCCTCCTCACCATCCTCCTCTTCGTCTTGCTCCATATCCTCAACCCGACGTTCCTCCTCTTCCACGTTGTCCGAATCTCTTTTCAAAGCATCAGGATCAAGCAGCGTCCTCTGGCCAGGGTCCCCAACTTCGTACTCCCGCAGAATGCCAAAGATGTCAATTAGGCATCGTCTGAAATACTCAACCACCAGCTCCAGAAAGCCAGGCAACTAAATAAAGAACACAGAGAAAATATGAGACATGATAAGCTCTGGGAAGGCTATCGAGTGTCATTAAGAGATCGATAACAAGTCTCACCGTGTTGAGATCAAAGGTAGAAATACTGTTGTCATCATACAGGAGAATATTGATGGTATCTAAAGCCCATGTACTTTCAGCCAATAAACCAGATTTTAACGACATCATGACTCTCCAGGCTTCTGGGGTTCCTAAAAAACAGGGAATAATTTTTTTTTTTAAATGGTTGGAGAGAAATGTCTGTGCAATACCTCAAATGACCCGACTTTAAGCACTGCTGTGGCTGAGTGGTGTCAAGCTGTGTCGCTTACCGATATCTTTCATGGTGAGTCTCCGTCTTGGTTTCAGCACAGGATGTGATGCTTCCACTGAGCCCGGGGGAAAAGGCATGTCTCGCCTTATTAGAGGCGACTGCACCGGAGGGGGCACAATATGGGACGCAGGCACTGGCGGGCCAGCCTTCTGCATCTTCATTACTCCGTGCATATAGGGGGACTTGCTGGGAGATGTCCGGCTCTCCATGGGCCGGGGCATGGAAGCTGGGCTGGACACTTGTGGAATGTGGTTCTGCACTCCCTGAGGGGGCTGATAGTTGGACTGCACTGAACGAGGCATGGGTTGGCCAGGCCCAGCTGGACCATAGGGAGGCTGCCGAGGGCCCATCTGCCCCCCCCACTGACCGTCGTGATTCATACGCTGTTCTGATGACATCATATCCTCCGATCGGTTCATGCCGGGATAGCCAGGCCCCTGTGGCGGGCCCCCAGGGCCACCCTGTCGGTTAGGGTAGTTCTGATAGTTGATATCTCGAGGTCCCTGCCACATGCCTCCCTGTGGACCGTCAGGACCCGACTGCATCATCTGAGGAGGCATGTTGGGCTGGGGGTTGGGCCCTGTGGCTCCCTGCATCCGCTCCCGTCCAAAGCCAAATGGGAACTGATTGCCGGGGCCCGGCGGGCGGCGGTCAGGCCCGGGGTAAGGCCCGCTGCCCCCGTACTGATTGTAGGACTCCTGCTGCCCTGAGGACGGTGCAGGGGTGCCTCCTGGCTGTTGCTGCTGCGGTGTTTGCTGGCCAACAGGAAAAGAGCCGGTGTACTCTGCCTCATGACGTTTAGATGGCGGGTAACCTCCTTCTACGGGACGCTTATAACCCTGAACAGAAAGAGAGACCTCGGTTACACCACTCCAGGAGAACCGTACTAAAAAATTTATATTCACAACTCGTCATTTCTGCTGTCATCCAAAAGGAATGTGAGAGATCACTGTTGATCCCAGTGTGCTGAAAGAGGCTGGAGCTGGTGTTGTGCGGATTGATTATTTACCGGCTGTGGGTACATTCCAGGCTGCTGATTTGGGTAAGAACCAGTAGGGGGCGTTCCCTGTCCAGGATACTGATTACCATAGGAATCATGCCTGCAAAGATTAATGCTTCGTCAGTTTGAACATGGAAATCATCTGCATCTCTGACTCAACGGTAACACATACAGTTTATGTAAAATGTTTCAAATGAGAGCCCACCACCTTTTTCTCTAACTGCTTAAAACATCAGTTACGTCCTGCCACATCTTAAACATACCGAATTTGGTTCAAACAACCTGATTTTAATCGAACATCAAACTAATGGGGGGGGGAAAAGTCCAACACCTTTTTTAAATATTCAGGTTTTCGGCCTGCTGCACTGCTCAGTATTAGCGATATATTTCACCGCTAGCCATTTTAAATCAAACTCACACATTCAAAATTAATAGAACCATTCGATCAATGCGACTGCCTGCGTCGCAGGCCCTTGCATTGACCAAGCCAACAGGCTGAGAGGTTCAATCATATTTCGACCACTACAGTATTTTTGTATATACTCAAAAATGTTTACTTTATAGGTCAATGATCAGTATCCACTGGCAGCCACTTCAAAAACAAACAGGCCTGCCAATCAGTTGTTGTGTGAACTGACCGTGGCTGCTGTGGTGGGAAGCGATTTGGCGAATACATCCCCGTGTCGGCATTGGCAGGCATCATAGGGTTTGGCTGGGGAGCAGCGGATCCCATGTTTCCCTCTGGACCCAGTCCTTGCTCAGCCCTGACAAAACGAAAGGCAGTTGTTTTTTTTTAGCATAAATAAAAACAACATTACAAAAGACACATTCACCATAAGGTGTCATATATTCTGACAGTTTGAAAATCAGCTCTACAAAATTACAATATTATGATATGTGACAGCTTTTGAAATATTTTCTTTATAGTTTGTTTCCCAAATTAAATATTCTACCATGAATTTTAACAGTATAGACAATAACTTAACTTTCAAATATCACATTCCTGATACTACCACAAAAAGCTTCAAAATCCATTCAATGTAACAATTCTGTAAAGATACCTAAAAGTTAGACCCACTCCTATTTAACAGAACAGTTATGTTTAGTTTTGGTCAAACGGGACATGAAAAAGAAGGACGGACAGAAAAGCCTGTCTGACTTCTGTTGATTGTTTCTTACCTCCTGTCATAGCCTGGTCCATAAGGATACTGCTGTCGGGGCCCCATTGGCATGGTGCCCATGGCCCCAGGCGGTCCCCTATTGAATGGGGGCTGTTGTGGTGGCTGCTGCTGCTGCTGGTCACCCACTACGCTGTTGGGGCCCTGGTTAGCAGGCAGGAACTGCTCCCCGACTGGAAACAAGTTCAGAATGTAAATCCACTGCGATGAACCGGGACGCGACAGCACGAATACATTTGGTGCTCCCACCTTTCCGCATGTTACCAAAGGGGTCCTTGTTGGGCTCATAGGGTCCCATTCTACCTTGCATGTCTTGTGTGTTCATGCCGGGCTGATAGGTGGAGTTGGGAGTCATGTTCTTCCTGGGGAAAGTCGGGTCACTACCATCAGAGAAGGGGTCTTGCAGGTTAACGCTGCTCCTAAGTCGGTGGAAAGGAGGCAGAATTAAACCGGCTGCTCGAATCAGGATCATTTTCATAAGGAGAACCACACGAGTGAGATCGCATGTGGGTTACCTTGACCCGGGTGGCATAGGGGGCATCTGGGTGTGAGGAGTAGAGGCTGGTGTGGGAGGTTTTAGGTCTCCCCCCTCAGCCATGGAGCTGCTAGTGGACTGGGGTGTCTGAGGGCCCTGCAGAGAGCCTGACCCAGCTGTGGAGCAGAGGGACGCTTCAGTTTGAAATAAGAGAGGAGCAGACAGACATGGCACAATACTTTAATGATCTGCCCCAAAAATACAGGGAAAAACAGCCTTGTTCGGCTTTTCTTAAGTGAGTAGATGTGGGTCACTGAAATGCACGTTTGATTTGAAACGAGGAGGACGGCTCTAACCTGGAGATGGAGGCTGGACCTTAGCAGCTTGGTTCTTTTTGTTGTCAGAAAAGATCTCAGGAGGAGGGTCTTCACCGCGCTCGATTTTGCACTCAAAGGCGTACAAACACTGGATGTACTGCTTTTTCAGAGAGCTGGCTGCACTGCTGGATGTACCCACGTTTAAGGCAGTGGCAAGATCCCGCCATTTCTTACTCTTGTTTACCTACAACACAGTCAAAATGAGATTTTAAAAATAAAATAAAAACATCAAAGGTGAAGCCAACTATACATATTGGCAAAGACTGTAGTTTAGAAATGGTTTATTAACCTGCGTCATTCCTCCAATCTCTTTAACCGACATATAGAGCCGGAAGAGGTCAAGGGGTTTGCGTCCTACAGCCGGCAGGTTGGTCATACCCATCGCTTTCTCTTCAATGAAAGCCAAGTACCGGTCCACCCATATCTTCCTCTCCGGCTCTGGTCCAAGCTCATACAAGCGTGTGATGTTTTCACTGGTTGTCGTGGAAGAGTTGGACTTCTGTTTTGTTTGATAGAGTAACAAGAAACCAGTTACATTTTCAAAAATCCCCCCAAAGATTTTCAGAGACATCATTATTAAATCTAGAAGAATTTCTACCTTAGATTTGGACTCTGGTTTGGGTGTTCCACTTCCATCTACTTTATTGTTCATCTTATTATTCATCTCTGGACTGGGAGCCATACCTACAACATGATGACAGAGTGAAATTAGCTTTGATCTTTGCATATTTTTTTTTTAAATGACCAAGCCAAAGGAAGTTATCTCTGTGTAACTAACCACTTGAGTTATTGGCCATGTTTGGCCCCATGGGATAAGGTGATCCACCCGGAGTATTCATCATTCCAGGCATGTTATTCATCGGTGGGCCATACGGTGGACCCGAACCCATCATGCTTTGAGACATGTTAGGATAACCAGGCATTCTGGAAAAAGGAAAAAATGAAGGTCAGTACAACTATTTTACAGCAAACATGTGTGATTAACATTAAAGAATCCACATGAAGACTGATGGAGAACCGACCTGTTGTGCATGGAATTGGAGGTGGGGTGGTGCATGGCTGTTGGATCCTGTGGCTTTCTGTTCATTCCCGGAGGGGGACACATTCCTGAGCCTACCTGGGGTGGCATGTTGCCCATGTTAGGGGGCATGTTTGGACCCATGCTGGGGCCCATGTTGGGAGCCATGCTAGGGCCATAGGGACGAGTCCCCATCTGGTTAGGCGGCATTCTTCCTGGAGGTATGCCAGCATATGGCGGCCCTCCACCCTGTCCAGCCATGGGGTTCATGGAGCCCATTCCCGACCCAGGGTAGTTCGTGTTGGACATGTTGCCATAGCCAGGTTGTCGGGGATAACCTACAGGGGGACACCATAAAGACAAAAAAAAACAAACGGTGATTTATTGTTGGTTAACAAACAGTGGCTAAAGAACTGAAATCACTACAACGCAGCAACGTTTGTTTGTGATTAAAAACAGCTGTTTGACGCAAATCACTCAATTCCTTAACAGATGTGAAAGACAGATTTTTTCCCCCCCAAAACAGTCTGCTAGCAGATAGAGCTATGCAGTCAGTGCAACAAGCCTTTGTCACAGTTTCAGCTCCACTGACAGGAGGCTAGGCTACGTCAGCTGACTCTCTGCCTCACTGCTATAAATAGCTGCAACAGAGTCAGAGGGAGGGACCAGCCACAGCATGGTATTCCTATGAGGCAAGGAGATATATTCCATAGGTTTGACCAAAGGGATACGTACAGGAGTAGATTTCACTAACAGACTATGAATGAAGAAGAAAACTTTTAGAATTCATTCAGTAGACCTTATAAATCACTGCTGGAAGCCTTTTATTACAAAAGAATTGCAAAGCAGAGAAAAAAAACCTTAAAGTTAAGTCAAAGTCAGACAAGAACCATTTCAAAATACAAACCTTGAGGCCCGTATTGTCCTCCCTGCTGCCCATAGCCTCCCATGGAATTGTTCTGCTGGTACGGGGCCATCCCAGGATGCATCTGTCCCCCAGAGGACTGGCGAGGTGACAGAGCTGAGGCTGACTGAGGGGAGCCATAGGGAGGCATCTGAGGGTTTCTCTGCATGAACCCTGAAACAAATGGAGGAGAAAATGGACACGTTGAGACTCTGATGTATTAATCCCCCGTAGTCACGCTAGGTTAAGTCTGCGGCATACCTCTGTCCTGGGCCATAGGTGACTGGCTCATTGCAGGATGCAGGCTCCCATCTGACTGCACACTGGATGGCCTGGGAGGCATCTGGGTTCCTAAATTAAAAAATTGAACTATGATCAGTTTAAGGTCAATGAATGACTTGTGAAACCTGAGCAAAGGCCCACCAAACTAGCCGCGTAGTGTCATAAACCAGGAAACGAGAAACTGCCCTTTCAGCAGAAGATTTTGATAACATCCTTCTAGTCTCAGTCTCTCACACATCTCATAGAAAATGTCTTTCAAGGCCATGGAGTGGAGCCAAAGTGTTTTTTAAAAGCACTTCACTGTAAGAAATGCTTTTACCACAAACAAGGCAAAATGTGAATCCTCGAGTTCTCGCTTTCTGACTTCTGCACAGCATGCACAAAACAACCATCTCAATTATGTGCAAGATACTGTTCAAAATATTTATTTACTACAGCAAAAGGTTGTTAGATTAGCATTTTTGTCAAGATCAAGCCTAGATATTCCTGACCCAAAAGGGGCGCCAACATATTAAAAGAAAAACCAAGAGCAGGTCATGTTTTAAGAAAAGAAAATGCGGTTAGTGGAGTTTTCTGGATAAATGTGATTATTCACAACCTTTTCCGTTTCCAAATTTAGCTAAACATGTGCGGGCCTGACTGTTTTGACTTCCAATCCAATTACTGCTCTGTAGAACTCTTTGAGCAGGTCAAAATGCTGCAGAATGAAAATGAGCATCCTGGAGTCAAGTACCCATCCCACCCGCTGTTAGGGGATATTAAGATAATAATCAAGTGTTTACAACTCTCCATTAAGTGAATATTGACTTAATTATTTGGTTCTGGCTTCTGAATCACAAGTAACTTGGAAAAATAGAAAGAACAAAAAGAACCATTAAATAGCCATCGTTATTTGACATCACTGTTTTAAGATAACAAGCATCAGAGGTTTCCTCCAAATCAAAGGCCTCCCTGTGAGGTCTGGGCTTACCTGGCATGTTTGCGGGGGACAGTGGCCCAGTACGGGGTGTGCTGGCGCTGGCGGGGGAGCCGGCTGGAGAGGGCGAGGGCCCTCGAATGCCAGGCAGATGGGGAGACGTATGTGGAGAAAAGGGCGACTGAGCTGGGTTACTCTGCTCGCCTTGGCTGCTGGACACACCCGACGTACTCACGCCAGGACTCAGGGCCCCCTCTGTACCTGTAGGCAGGTCGTCGATAGACCCCGATAGATCCTGAAAGACACAAATGAGCAATCAAAAGGAGGCAGACTGGTGACAGAAAGACCGCGTTGTATTTTCATTTATAGATACTTCTGCTTTGATTATATACTGGCTGTAGTATAAACATGCGCACACACCCCCTGGAGGTCTTTGTCCTTATTTATCTTTTTCATAAAGTAATGAGTGTGCATTTGAGCCATTGGTTGTCATGGTTACCATGGTTTGTGGGAGGCAAGTAGCAGAGTCAGCATGTAGCAGCAGCCTTGCCATGTGCTTTCAATACAAATTATTTCCATTTCATCCCAGAGAGCCTTTTGAAACCAGTAATCTCGCTATGGTGGAAGTTGTGTATATTCATATAGAGTCAACCCGTTGTTTAGACAGTTTCATTGATTTCATCCATCTTCATTTTGTATCCACTTTAAGTTTGATCAATTACAACAGGTCAGTGTGCATTCTTTAGGTCACAAACACCTCAGTGAGAAATACAAATGCACCTCGAACTTGAGCACATGAGCATACTGACGTTGCTTCCTCTGATCAAGTAAAACTCCTGGTACTCGCATGCATTCGTCTTACACCAACAAAAAAAATTAATTAGATCAAAAGATGTTGCCAGCGAATATGTCTGCCAAAGCACTTTGTGATTCACTTTGTTTTTTCATCCTAAAAAGCGGTATACATCATACATTATGCTGTTCCGGACCACAAAAACTGCATAAATCTGCTTGCAGCCATAGAATTCTCCTCCACCTAACTGGAGACCTAATTTCCACACAGTGGCATTCCAGAGCATCAGCGACATAGCTGTGCTTCCAACTGACATGCAAGTGCAGCAACGGAGAAGAAGGTCATGGCAACCACACTGACAAACTTTCTCAAACATGGACCACACATTCATGGTCAAGAGACTAAATGATATTTGTCTCGGCTCATACAGACATACTGACCTAAAATTAGCATTGAGAATGCAAGAAAGTTACAATACAGATGTAGAAAATAACTGTCACCAATTAAGGAGAAAAGCAAAAACGCTGCCTGTGGAACAGCTGTGATTAAACAATCACTACTGACCGGAAGGCTAGAGGGGCGGCCTTGACTGTCCTCTTGGCCAGATTTAGTTTGGGTGGATGGAGGCGCGCTGGACTGAAAGGAGTCCTGGGAAACATCCTTAAAAACAAGAAGCCACAGGCTTACCCATAATGTATCAACAGAGCAGGAAAAGAAAAAATCTAACAAATCTGCTGTTTGCTGAGGAGTACCTGCTGCTGGGGGGGAGGAAAGCGCTGATAAGGTGACTGCTGTGCTTGCTGCTGCTGAGCATTCTGCTGGTATGCTCCTGGCTGCCCCTGCGGGTGTGGGCCGTGCCCCTGTGGCTGCTGGGGATGAGACTGGGCCTGCTGCTGCGCCGGCGGTTGCTGCGGGCCCTGCGTGGGTCCGGGGTAGGGCGATTGGCCTTGTGATCCGGGGGTGGTCTGGGAACTTGGCTGCTGCGAGGTCTGATTGGGAGGTCCCTGCTGCTGGGCGTAGGGAGACTGGCCAGACTGGGAGGCTGGCGCTTGAGAATAAGGTGGCTGAGACTGTGGGGGCCCTTGTGATGGGCCGGGCAGTGGCCCCTGGGACTGCGGGGGCATGTGAGGCTGCTGATAGGGCGGCCCTCCCTGGGTGTGTGGAGCAGAACTTGGAGGGTGAGGCTGTCCCGGATAAGGTGACTGCCCGCTGGGTTGTCCGGGTGTGGGCTGGGAATAAGGAGTTTGCTGCTGACTTGGGTGAGGAGTTTGGCCTGGTTGGTTGTAATACGGTGTCTGGCCCTGTGAGCCATAACCTCCTGGTCCCTGCTGCCCATAAGAGCCCATCTAAACAATTAAGACACGACAACTTCAGAAAGACTGTAAACATTCATCAAAGATATCCATAATTTTTTTTAAATACCTGTGGCCCATAAGGCATGGCACCCATGCCTCCTGGGGTACGTCCTGGCATTCCAACTGGGTATCGCTGGGGACCCGGAGGGCCATAACCCTGGCCAGGGTACCCTGGCCCCGGTTGAGGACCAGTAGGAGGCCCCTGCTGAGACTGTTGACTGTATGGACTACCTGCCCCATATGGCTGACCTCTCATTTTTGCCATTGGATCCATGGGACCAGGTGGCTGGATATGGCAAGAAAATCAGAGAAAGAAAACAGTTAGGAAATCAGAACCTACAAGCAGTCTTCCTAGCCCATATGTAATTATGCCATTAAAGCATGTTCTTCGAATCCCTGAAATATCCGGCTGCAGTGTGTTCCCATTATAGACCCAAAGCATAAAAACAACTTCAGTCAATGGGGAAGCTGTGCTTTTTTTTCTTCCCACCTTATTTCCCACGATCGTTACCCTGCTATTTTTTTCACCTTACTTTGCCATAGTTTTCGGAAGTCAACAGAGCTATATATATCTACTTTCAAATGGAGGGCAGTCTGCCCAATCTTAAACATATCCCAGCTGTGCTCCTGTTTTGAGCCTGGCCCAAGTAGCTTTTTTTCCTCTCCCCAGAGAAGGGAGTTTGGCTTTGGATGAATGACACCAGAAATGAGGGAAGTACTTTAACAATATCCAAAGAGAGGGAAAAACTGTACAAAAATGCATATGCTTCTGCCCAGCAAACAAGTCCTAAATCCATCATTTTTAACCCAAAGTTGTTTTACTGTATAAAAAAAAGTCAGGCATCCCCTCACAACTTAAACAAAAAAAGCATGTACACAAACTGAATAGCCTCCCAAACATTACTTCAATCACCCACATGTGCACTTTTCAGAGATGTACAACCTTTACAAACGTCTACACACTATGTCTTAGGTGGCACACTGCAGATCCAAGATAATGAGGCGAAATAAATAAGAGCAGCACATGGCTAATCTGCATAAGACAGAGAGAAAAACTCCCTTGGTGGGTGAGAGATGGTGGACCGCTTCCTGATTGGCTTGGTGGGAGGATTGGGGGAATTCTTTGCAGGCACACAGTCAAACTTGTGTGGCATGCCAGACAGCAGCAACACATCCTCCCAGGCAGAGATCAAGATTGCCTTTTGCTGTTGTGTCATGGGATGGAATATGAAACTCAAGCAGTTGTAGTTTAACTTGGCAAAGGATAAATTGTCACGGATAGATAACATGAGTCAACAGATTCTGTCAATAGCTATTAGGATGTGAGCACTTAATGAGTGTAGTGATGTTATTATATAGTTTTATTTAATTCCTACATGATGATCCAATTATAAGCACTGATGCAGAGTTTTAGTGGAGCAATTAAAACCTTGCCGCACCTTTACTTCAGAGGCAATAATAGTGGCTTTTGAAGACACTCTTAACCACACTTTATACGTGTCCAAGCAGCTCTTAGTGTGTTTTTAAAGTCAAAAAGAGGAGCTGAGAGGAGAGAGGCTGCAGTGCTCCTGTTGACCCTGATGAGCTAATGCTGCACGTCCTTATCAGCAACTGTTGCCTTGCATCTCATGTAATTATAAATGGCCAAGAGCAGCGGATGAGGAGCCAATCAGATTTCAGCTAGCATGTCAACCCAAGACCAACTATCTCCTGCCTTTGACAGTCGGATTTTACCTCCACAATTTAAATCCCACTGCAAACTGTAATCCGCAGGCTGCACTCACATTAGGCAGCGTTGACTGTTTACAGGCAGCATGAACGGACACACCAGGATTCTTTAAGCACAAGCGAGCTCAATTCTCAAAATTTTGCTCAAATCTAACCGTTTGTGACTCGTCCCTGCGTCTGACGAGTCAAATGAGCTATTTAAATAGGACCTTAATGGGCAATTTCACTAACCGTGAAGGACTCATTCGGCACGCAACACATTCCTTCCGTCATGGCCGCAAAATTACAGCCTACCAGGCAACAAAATGGTATAAACAAAAGACTATAAGCAACTATCACGGACTACGGTGCGAGGGTACGTTACATAGTCGTATAAAAAACTTGTTTACAACAAATGGACTTGAAAAGTCAGCAACAAGAGGGAGTACGGAGGCTATCGGTGAAAAAAACTAACCGTTGCTCTTCAGTGAGCAATTTCGCCCCCTTTTCAAAGTCAGGCCTTCTTCGCTTCCTGAACATCATTTCACCAACTCACACCATATATAATTATCTCTCCCTTATGACTGTGTGGATTTCTAAATGTATTAAAAACAACTCTTGTTTAATGGTGTGGTGTAAAGAGAAAAAATACACACGACAGGCAGCCATTTTAGAGTCTTTGCGAACTAGTATCAGACAATGGCTGGCCTGCTACGTTGAGAACTAGCTCAGAGGAGGGAAGCAGACGTGCTAAAGCCCTCACTGCAGTAAAAAGCTCACTTTACCTGGTTTCTAGCTAGCGGCTGCCCAGCACTCCCGGGGCTCATGGGCGACGGGTGATGGCTTCTTTGTTGCCAACCCGGATTGCTCCCTCCGTACTGACCGCTACTTCCCATATCTGCTGGTCCCTTACTAGCTCCCTCTTGGCTACTGTAATCGCTTGACGGGTAGTTTGGATAACCCCGCGTTGAGCTGGGAGACGTTAGAAGCTTGTTGAGGGTCGGTGTGGACGTTGGTTGAGGATTTCCAATGTTATATCTCTGGTTACTGTAAGATCCAGCCATCGCCGACGGTCCTCCTGGCGGCGGCTGCTGCTTAGCTGGCTGCCCCCCAGCTGTCGGCGCCTGAGCACTGCGAGGGGAGTTCATGGCGTACGCCTGGCCGGGGTAGGGAGTCCTGTTCGGGAACGGGTTGTAGTTGTTGAACTGGTGGTTTGAAAAGCCATGCTCGTGTGAATTCGGTTGATACGGATCCATCATGTTGCTCGACTGCACAACCGGACCCGCAGCAGCTGCCATGCCAGGGCTTTGTTGTCCGCCATGTTGATGAAAAGGGGCCCGACCGTAGGGCTGACCGTATCCGTACGAAGGTGGAGGAAAAGCGGGGCCGTGGTGATGAACCAAACCCGGGTGGTTATTTCCCTCCGGTCCGACAGAGTCATTCTGGGTATTATTGTTAGCCCTGGGCGGGTTCCCATTCCCGTTCTTCATCTCAGGTTCCCCTCCTCCCCCTGCATTTCCACCGTCGGCCCCGTCCTGCAGATCCACCCGGCCCGGCGATCCGCTGTCCAGCCCCGGCTGCTTTTTATCCGACTGCTTCTCTCCGGGGACAGGCTCTTCCTTAGGGTCTCGATCCGGCTTTTTGAGTTCGGAAGGCGGGCTAGTGTTAAGAGTGGCGGCGCTGGCGACCTGAGCGGCCATGATATACCCCCCCACCTCTCTCTCCCTCTCTCGGCGAGTCAGTCACAATCAAAAACTAGCATTGAATATAAATAATTCTTTAGAACCATTAATCCTTGTGTCGATTCATTCCCCACCCCTTATTCCGGACCGAATCCGGCTGCCATCCCACCGGTTCCGGCTCCGTAAATGGGTTAGAAAGATGATGGAGGCGCCATACAATGCGTAAAGAAGCGACAGAAATTGTTGTGGGAGTTGTGTTACTGAGCCCGGGCAGAGGCAGGGAGCTAACCCAACCAACACGAGGCTCCGCTACATACAGCCATTTTACCGAGCCGCGCGGGAGCCTGCAAAACACGGAGCCTGTCCACCTCACGCGGACGGGGGGCTTTTTTTCCTCTCTTTTTTTTTTTTGTCTGGAACCCTCACGTTGTGTCTGTTTTATACCCTATAGGTCGAACGTTTTCTGCACACGGAAGGTCCTAATGTGTGTTCGAGTAAGAAAAAAAAAGAAGCGTTCACCAAAGAAAGTGCAAGACGGTTCATTCCATGTGCACCGTTTCAGTTGTGAAATGGGTAACTGTGCACTTAGATGCGTATGCATGAAGCTAAAGAGCAGGAATGCACATCATTGGATTTAGACATTATAAGACAGCAGACCTCTGAGCACATGTGCACAAGTTGTACTGAAAACTCACATTACAGCAGGCTGTCTGTGCTGTTGCCATTTTCTCCCTCAGAGTAACCATTTTGCTTTCTTAATGTGTTTAATAGAAGGCAGCTCATCTTTTCTTAATTCTTGAAGATGTTTCACCTCTCAGCCAAAAGGCTCCTACCACATTTAAATCCGAACCCCCTCTCTGTAAGGACTTGTCATTATCTGGATGACTGCAGGTCGACAGTACATTACCCCTTTACCTTAAATTCAAGGCCATGTTGCACCATTGCCACCGATCTGTGACCACTTGATGTTTATGTAGCGTTTTATTTCTCTTTCAGCCCATTTTCTAAGCTAAATTGTGGTAAATGTGGGTGTTTTAGCCCTCTGGGTTTGGTTGGCCACATTTGGGCCCTCTTGCATCTCTTTCTAGCCATCCTCTGACTCTTTGATGTTGTTTTGTGTCACACTTTGGTTACTTTGTGTCTCTGAGGCTTTTTTGTGTAGCATTACCTGTAATTTGACATCACTTTGCATCAGGTTCGTTGCCCTTTTGCCAATCCATGCATTTTTCAAGTTATTTTACATTAAGTCTCAGGTTCATTTGGTCCTAAGTATTTTTATTTATTTGTCTTGTTACATCTCTTAATTTGTGACACAAGATGGCCACGAGCCTAAAATATGAAACAGTCTATATTTACCTTATTGATTATTACCCATTAAGATGATAAGGAGTAATGCAAGCAATAAAGCCATCAATGATTCTTTACCAGAACACTGAAAACTCCTTAAAATAATAACACAATTTGTCTGACAAAAGTGTTTATCTCTTTATCCCACTGAACATTTTTCAGTACGTAGATTTTTTGGGGTCATTTCTCACCAGCCTTTCTGAGAGGCATTTAGGCAAGAGAGGCGAGCGCAGGTTTTTCCACAGCAGAAGGAGGAAGCCTTGCAACAAACGAGACTAGCAATGCACATTCCCTCTTCTTCCCTCCCCTGCCTGCCTGCTCTGCTCTCCTCTACCACCCCCTCTCCTCTCTGTCTGTATCTCACTCCAGCAGAAACACTCTGTGCTGAGTGTGGGGGGATGGGCGCGCAGGCTCCTGCTCTCTCTCAAGCTCACCAACACTGAACTACACCAAACAGAAAAAAAAGCGAGACCTTATCTCCCAGAGAGAGGACGCCCGAACACTTTGAAAGTCTGACAACATTTAGAAATATGTTGCATTTGGGTTCCTTTCTCCGCTGACAAATGAATCGGCCCTTTTTTTTTTTTTTTTTAGCTCACAGGGTGTGTGCACTGCATTGAGCAGGGGTGGGATGGTAATGAAGTGTGTGTGTGTGCGTGTGAGTGTGTGTCTGCTGGGGGAGTTTTTATTTTCCGAGAGCAATGATTAAAAACGGAAAAGATGAAATCTTCACGAGGCATTTAATTGTTCAATTTGGGTATCGATTAAAATTCAGATTTTGGCATGTAAGTAGGACAAGCCTGCCTTTCGGTTTCTCTTCTCACTTTCGACAGAAACGCGCGCGCATACACACACGAGCTGTCTTTCGTCCCCCCCCCCCCCCCCACCCCCCCCCCCCCCTCTCCCGCCCCCCCCCCCCCCCCTTCTCACACACGAACACACGCACCTACCTCTAGGGGGCTTAAAGGCAAAAGGCAGGAAGTAGCAACGAGGAGGCATACTTGATCACATGTACAAACATCGAAGCAGAATTGAACATTGGGGCTGACACACCCCCCTAATGCCCCCCGGAGCCCTGCGGGCCGGAGGCCGTCCACATGCCCCCCGCAGCCCACCTCACCCCACACTGGGTTAATGTGATTTCCCACATCTACGCGAGCTCGCAAAGTGGATCACGCTTTATTTTCGTTGAACTGCAACACAGCAGAAGTGCACGCACGCGCACACGGTGCTTCGTTTTAAACACTGTTGAGATTTGGAGTTTTGACAGTATTATTCAGGGGCCAAATGGACACACAGAGTGGGGATGTGAAACTGGAGCGTGCCGTGAAAAGAGGGACCACTGGTCAGCAGCAAACGTTGGGAGTTTCTAGAGCTTTCAGAAAGGCAGAAGATCTTCCATCCCAAAGACCAGACACAGGGCCAGTTGTGCAGAAACACAGATTTAATGTGGCTTCCTCTCCCCGCCTGACTTAATTTTTCTGCTCCGGCTGCTGGAAAGAATCGGAGCAGACTTCTGCGGATCCGGGAGGAAGCTTTTTCGGGAGCATGTGCCATCTGCTGGTCAGCACAGACCCGTCTTCCAGCACCAGGCCTGACCCAAGTCAGTCCGTTTTTTTTTAGTTTCTGTATTGTGGTTGTGATGTGTCCCCGATGTCTTTGATTCACATCATGCCTGCCAAGTGTGATTAAGCTTATTTGAACTAAATAAGCCCTAATAGCTCTCCATTCATCTGATGATCCGGTATTTTATTTTAAAAGTCCCCTGAAAGGCTTGACTGTAATTCACTGAACTATTGAAGAAACAACACACTTTCAGAGCACAAATGTAAGCCAAAATAAGAAAGCATTTACTGGGATCACTTTATTGTTTGGGATGAAAATGACTTTTTATAATGTCTTCTCTTTGAAACGTTAAGCTCAAACATGAAAATAAGGCAATCTTGATGCCTTTTCAGTATCAGCATTGCTGTAAATATGAAGCTTTATTTTCCAGTACAAACATAAGATTAAACAAAACAACATTAACATGGCAAAGGCATAGTCTAGGGCAATGTGTTTTTTAGGAGGTTACCTACAGCACAGCACCCAGTTTTTGTTCCAGTCCTTCCACTCCTGTTCTCTACAGTCAAAGATTTCATACAAAGTGAGACAGATGTTGCCAGGCCTCTCCTGGTGTCCGGGAGCTGAAGAGGCGTCCGCTTTCTGGCCTGTTATTTGAGCTTTTGATTTTAGAGCTCCATCATTTCCTCCTCCACGCTTTTTCCACTGGTTTCGACATATCTTTCTTCCACCCCGAGAGTACTAGAGGGTCAGAAATTAAGGAAAACGTGACGAAAAAATACTTCACGTTTCGTGTGATGTTTTGGTTATTTACGACATCGTCCATTTGAGGGTACTAGAAAGTCTCAAAGTGCCTTCTCGTCTGATCTTAAACCAGATGAGTCACAGTGAGTCACCACAGTGATCAGGAAAGGATACGAGCTGAACTGGAAGTCTGCCCCCACAGCTGCTGACATCAGGGCCTGCAGATTCCTCTCCTCCAGGTCTCCAAAGCAATAGCCGTTGGCCTTGTCCACTGCTCGTAAGACCTGAATCATGCTCTCTTTGTCCTGGAGAGAGAGAGAGAGCAAAGAGCAGCATGTGATCTGGGGAATTCCCTGGAGACATTCAAAGAAACTAGCCCTGAGTCTCTCACTGGAACCTTGACAATATGCTGTTTGAAAACATTTTCATATCGGTTTCTGAGTTATGATAACAACACTCAATGTCGTCTTCACCGAGACTCTCACACGTCTTGCTTTATTGAGATTTACAGCATTAAAGAGACGTTCTGAGTTTCTGATACCTTAAGAATGTGCTATGAGCTTCCGCAGCCTTCTATTTTTCTCAGCAAACTTTGGCTTGGTGAGATAAGCAGCAGATGCATTCAAAGCCAGAAAGTGTCACTGACACAAGCTTTGGCGTTTTCTCTCTCTCAGGGTCAAAGGTGTTTAAGATCTTTAGATGCCACTGTTAAAAGTATATGAGTTAAATAACAGGCAACGGGCATCAGGGTGTTCTCTGTAATGTTAGAAAATGAGGAGCTGTTCTGCATTTTAATAATTTCCAAAAACTGAATATGGCTTTATCACAAGTATCCTTAGATCAGTTCTGCTCTGTGTAGATTTATCTGTTTTACAAGCTCTGTACACCAACGTAATGAAATGAATTCTTAGTCCGCTCACAATGTCTCCAAGATGATTTGGATTGTTAAAAAAAACATAGATCTCAGAAAACTCGCAAATATAACAAAGACAAATAACTTATTCTTTTTCCTCCCAGATTTTTCTCCAATCAAAGCTCAAAATGAATGAAACAAGTTTGCTGTAAAGCAGCTTACATACCTCAGCACGCACAACCCAGTAGTTTACACATTCACACATTTAGTTTTGCTTATGAAGATGTTATACCAGTAATGAACTGATCGGAACAGTTTAGTTAAAACTTTTACGCAAACAGGAACCCATTCAGGCCCAATGCATCCCTAAATATCAGTTCCTATGTGGTAGTACAGCTGCAGAATACAAAATAGGAAGCAACAGAGGTCAGTTCTTTGTAGCACAGAGTAGATATCAGAGCAGTAAAAGGCAGTAATACCTGTACGTTAAGAGGAACAAAAGACACCAGGCCGTAATCTTGTATAACTTCGGCCAACTTTTCATTTAAACTGTGGAATTTTTTAAAGAAGGGGTCTGCTGCCAAGTGATCCAGAAGATAGGTCAGGTCCATGACTTCGGTGTAGAAGTCTAGGTTGAAGGCTGCAAGACAACAACACAGGTCAGCAACGCGGACGAAGAATCCAACTGAGGTCAAGCTCAGAGTGCCCGACTTACCCAGTTTGCCGTACTGCTCGATCAAGTCCATCTTGGAGAGGATGTTGACGTGGGGAAGCTCCACGTGCAGCATGGTGGACAGAGAGGTGCACAGCACAGAGATGAACTTGGCGGGGTCAGCGCAGTAGTGAGAGTCCACCAGGTGCACAGCTGTCAGCTGAGAGGGAAAACAATCACACCTACAGTGAACCTGATTACCTTAGTTTGGTTTTTATTGATAGGGGTTTAGGGGGTCATGTCTGAGGACTCACTCACCCTGAAATTCCACTTGGCCAGCTGGGAGAAAATGCTCTTTACTGAACTCTGGTGGGTGTAGAGCTCAACCTGGCCTGGACAGTCAAACAAGAAGTAACAGTCGCTGTATTTTTTCAGCTTCTTCTCCAACCAGTCCAGGTTTGCTTCCGCATACTCCATGCAGTAGAGAAGCCCGCCGTTGGGCCCCAGCTTTAAACCGTCCATGACATCGTCCAGAGTGACCAGCTCCGAGATGTCCACCGCACACGGATACGGTATTCCTTCGTTGGCCGGGTCCATATTCACCACCACCACCTTGCGCCCCAGGCTGGTCAGGAACTCCTGCATGCCTCGGCAGTAAGTGGTTTTACCTGAACCTGGAGGTCCGATAACCACCTGGCCGAAGCGAACAGAGGGCTTTGCCCCCGTCTGAGTGGACATGGCTTTTTGAGTGATGGGGACAAGGCTTTACGTTGGATGGGTCAGGATGTCAGAGGGGCTACTTTCACACTCCCGCCATCCTACTGTGTGTTACCTGGCTTTGTGTCTAACAGCGGTATGGAAGAGCATCCAGTTCAGCCTCAAGAAATGGACAGTAAATTAAAAATATTAAAAAAAACATCTAAATATTAAACTCTTGCCATCCCAACACACTCGGGCAAGTTTGACAACTTAGTAAATGAGGAGCAATTAAACCCCACAGCGTTGAAAAAGAAACTCAATTAGACCTATATTACCTGCCCTGTCACCGTAATGTGAAACCATTGATAAAATAACAAAATACTGACGGAATATTGCCGCTCTACTCCAAAATGTTAGCATGCGCAGCGCGGTTTCTAACAAACGTGCTAAAGCTACAGATGCACTTCCGGGTTATGCAACCTGCCTGTCAAGATAAAAGAAAATGTTTACGTTTAATGAACCGCATCATGTTTTCAACTTGTGATTAAGCGATATTACCTAATAAGCAGCACCTTAAGCTTTAAATCATTATGTATATTTGTAGAATTCTTGCAGAAGTTTTAATAATTTGTACAAGAAACGTGATTTAGTAAAACAGTGAAGGTATATGTTGATATAAAATATAATAACAAGCACAAGGAGTTAGGTACAAAAACATTTTTAATATAAAAGTCACACCTTTAACATACAATTCAGTTCTGAGGCTAAATAAAAGTCATCTTTGTGGTCCAATGCTGCCACCTGGTTGCCACCCTCTGTACTTCACACTGGTGTTCGGTTGACGTCTGAGTAAGGTGTCACCTCTGTCTATGTCTTTTGGTTCATCGTACACTGTAGTTATAAGCCAGTCTTTTCTGGCCTTTTTTACAGGATGTAACAGCAGTTTTTCTCCATGATACCTGCAGAGATTAAAAACCATCAGCCTTATGCCCATACCCCCACAATAGAACTCAAAACTGTGTTCCTTTTAAATAATCAGATGGTTGTGTCGCTATGTTCACACTGACCCAAACCCTCTTTTGCAGCGGGGATGTTGACCCTCACTCTCAAGTGCCTCAGAAATCCCAACCTGGCTGTTTCCCAGTCCTTCACCATCCCTCCAGCCCTGCTTCTCCATCAAACGCCGGCCAAAACCCTAATCACAGAAAAAAATGACAAAAGTTCTACAACTCCAGTACATAAGACGACAACACCCAAAACACTCAAACAATCTTCATACCTTGGTGAATTTTTCAAAGCTACCAATAGACTGATTGTATCCTGATCCATCTTCAACACCTTCCCTCAACCTCGTTTCATATCGCATTCGGACATAATCTCGGGCATCCATGTCGCCTCCATCTGTGAAAGGAGGAACGGGGTTAGATAAAATCGGACTTTCTGAGAATAACTGGGATTAAAGCTTCGGATACCTTTATCGTAGTAAACACTCATGTCAACATCCCAGTCATCCGCCGTTTGTTCATCAAAATCTACAAAAAAAGCATATGGAAACATAATTATTTACTAAGCAAGCTGATAGTAATGATCTTTTCTTTAAAAAAAAAAAAATATATATATATATATTATACCTCCTTCTTCTTCCTGCCAGAGTTGAGCATCGGTGTAGAAAACCAGACCTGAACCTCCTTTTTCCCACTTTAGTTCAATCTCCTCTTCGTACAGTCTCTCTTTACTTCGCTCCTGGCTCGTTACATCATCATGCAAAGCTTCGTGGCGTTCCCACTCCTCACAGCGGTCGTCATCCTGCAAGCAACCACAGGAAAAGTTAATAAAACCTAAATAAATGCCTCACTGTTTGCCCACAGCACATCAAACACATTTTTGACAGACAGGTAGAGATTTATCTTACATCATCAGCATCTGACTGTGCATCCTCCTCTTCCTCTTTTTTCTGCGTCTCATCAGCTTCTGCTGTTTCTGTGTGATCAGCCTGCTGCCTTGACCTCGAGGGTGGTGCTACAAATATGCCAGGTCCTGATATCTCATGCCCTGCAGCTGTTAACACAGTCTCTTCTGTGGGTGCCAGGGTCCATGTGTTGCGGTACTGGAAGGGGACGTTTCCATAACGACGGTTGGAGCTGGTTTTTGGAAAAGTTAGCCCCAACTTTCGAATGAGGCGTGGAGGCAGGCGGCAGGATTGGATGAGCTGTAGGAAGACCTTCACCGATGTGCCCACATTCCCCTTCTGCATCAAAATAGGTGGATTCAGTTCCGGTAAGCTTTTGAGGTCAGCCTCTGTGAAACGCTCTGTTAAGGAAACGCGGTGCCGCTGCTCATATTTAGTTTTATAGGGAAAAGAACTTTCATCTGAAAGAATAAGAGAAAAAAAAGACCACAATGATGTGAATTTATATTACCTCATCCAATCACATGACAAACACAAGCAACATCTGTTACGTTACGAAAACACTCCCACAGTTTTATTATACAGATACTGATACAAGACAAAACAAGGAAAAAATATAGTCACAAGTCGTTTCACTGGGAGGGAGAGTAATACTACCATTCACCAGACAAAAAGTGTGTACAGCGTGAACTAACCCTCGTCTTGTGAAACCTTTATCCTCCTGATAACGCAGCGTCTGGCCAGCCAGTTTCCTTTCGAGTCGATCCAATGATTCCCCGCATACATTTTGATGAACCTGTCGGCGTCTTTTGCGTGAACTGACACGATACAGCAGCACGACCTCACCGCCTGCTTCGACAAGGAGCCGCTCACTGTTGACTCTTCGGGGTCGGTGGATTTGGAGCCGCCGTCCTCTCCGTCTCCACACACGGTGGCTTCTAGCCCCGCAGGCTCCCTGAGGACCTCCGGTCGATGTCGGTAGTGGAAACATTGAAAACCGTCACTTTCAATGAACTGACTGAAGTAATTTCTAAGGTCGGCTGAGCGGAAGATAGCCGGTATATTACTAATAGCAACATAGACAGCACAGCTAGCTTCGCTGTCCGCCATGATTGTTTATCTTCAAGAACGTCAGACGTCATCGGAGCGAAATTAACCGAAAACGTCACATCCGCTTCCGGACCGTCACAACGGACTAACTTGGTCACCAATTTCTTTCTTTCTTTCTTTCTTTCTTTCTTTCTTTCTTTCTTTCTTT